AAAAAAAAAAAAGAAAGACCCTCAGCAAGATGGACTGACACAGCGGCTGGAGCAATGGGCTTGGGTATGTCAGGCATGGTGAGGACAGAGCAGGACAGGGCAGAGGTCAGGTCTGCTGTTCACAGGGTCCTTATGAGCTGTGGTCGACTCGATGGCACCAAAAAACAACCACAACCACGAATGGCCCTTTCAGTTTTGCATGCTTTTGTGACTCCCACAAAATGCCTGGGTAAGACTACGCAAATAAAGTGTGTGTAGTCCACCCAGGGGAGTGTATAGCTTACCAACAATGCAACTAACGTGCATGGAACACTCCCAGGGTTGTTTGTGCATTCCCATGGGGTCAGAACTGACTCACACCCAACCCTCCAGCAGGTTTTCAGAGGCAGTATATCACACGGGAGGAAACTGCCCATCTTTCTCCCACGGAGCAGCTGGTGTATTTGAACCACTTGCCTTTAGCTTGGCAGCATAGATCATTACCACTAGACCACCAGAGCTCCCTTGCAGGGGGTGGAGCCATGCAAATAAAGTATACAGAACACTGACAAGGAGATCAGTCAACGGGGTCACCTCATGAGGCTTCAAATGAACCAATGCCAGAAGCTGGGCCACCAACCTCATTACCACTAAGAAGAGATGGGGAGACCCTTTGGACCTGGGGTCCTTGTGCTGAGAAACTCCTAGACCCAGGGGACACAGAGATAGACAGAGAGAATGCTGTAACATTCAAGGCAGCAAGAAGCAGTAGAAAAACTGAGATACCAGTCCAAAACAGCTAGCTATAAAGTGAGGTACCAACAGGGAGTGTGGGTGGAGCAGGGTGCCTCTGGAGACTTACTGGTAGAGTTAAAGAGCTTTGTAACATTTGCCCAAGCAGGGAAGAGATGATAAAAGGCTGAGAGACATCCCTATAGACACAGCTATGAAGAGGCTGTTCTAATGAAGAACTGTATCCTGAGTCTTTCCTGAAGCAGAACTGTAACCTGTTACTTCCTTACCAAACCCCTTATCTATGAATTTGGTCTGTGAGTTCCATGTGGCTATTGCAATGAACTCATATCTAGTAGAAAAGCAGAGGGTGCTGTGGAAGGAGAGAAGGTGTCCGAAGTGGCTGAAAGGTTGGCGAGAGTGGCGATGTTTGATCTCTACTTCACAGGAATTACCTGGGTCCAGTGATCTCTCCCCTCCTGAACTGAGGCGTGATCAGGCACGAGACATGAAAACATAGTTCTGCCAAAAATATTCTTAGCAGCAGTCATCCGTGCTCCATGGAGGGAAAGCTGGTGAAACTTCGTCTCACATACTCTGGGGATGTTGTTAGGAGGGGCTAATCCTTGGTAAAAGACCTCATGCTTGGAAAGGTGGAGGGTCAGCGAAGGAGGGAAGACCCTCAACAAGACAGACTGGCATGGTAACGGTAACGGTAATGGTGGGCTCAGGTATGTCACAGATGGTCAGGACAGCACAGGAGAGGCAGGGTTCAGATCCTTCGTTCACACGGTTCCTATGAGTCATAGCTGATTGGACAGCATCTAACAAGAGCAGCATCAATCTCTATCACAGCTGCAGGGGAAATATCCCCGCTAGAAAGACCAAGCCAAGCCCCCAAACTGTTCCAGGTTCAAGGGCATTTGTAGCTTCCTAAAGACATAACAGCGGATGGAGTCATGGTCCACGATTATCTTCAGTTGTAAGGGATGCTGCAGGGACAAGTGGTTCTGTGCTGCTCACGGGGCCACACAGCCCCCACCAGCCCATTTCGTGGGGCACCAGTGACAGACAATCCAGTGGGTTAACAGTCCCTGTACTCTTCTGTTAACTGCAAAATCAGCTGGATACGCCCAAGGTTCCTGCCTCTCCCACAGCCCGCCAGCGCCCTCTATCTGCCCCTCAGAGCCATGGCCATGGAAAATGGATCTCTTTCTATAGTCTAAAAACTCAATCATTTGCCATTTAATAAACAGCTTCCTAGTTGTTATATACCATCAAGTTGGAACCGACCCATATTGGACCCTCTAGTGGGTTTTCAGAGGCAGTAAACGGTACAGGAGGAGACTGCCCATCTTTCTCCTGTAGTTTTGAACTTGGGCTGGCAACACACTTCCGCACCACTCAGGCCTCCAGAGCTCGCAGCCAGAGCACGCTCTCTTATTTCCCGTCTCCACCCTTCCCACTCAGCCAACATCGATGGGCTTATCACACAGACACCAGCCACAGCTCTTATCAGAGGGGAAGACTCGTTCAGCCTGGCATGTGCTCAAGACAGGCAGGGAGAAGCCTTCTGTCTCAGAATAGCAACAGCGGACACCTTCTGCAGGGTAGGAAATGTGGAGGAGGACGCAGGCTCCCTGGGAGTCCAGCCTGCTCCTGACACATCGTCACCAAACATTCACGGGACCCAGGCTTGCAAGTGTGCTGTGCAAAACACAATAGCATAACGGAACAGTGGGGGACCTCAGCTGGAGGGCAACCATGGCTAAGAGGAAGACGGGTAGAGCAGGCCCAGGAGTTGGACATGCGAGGACACACCATGCCAATAAACCATGCTGGCAGCCTCGTTCAGAGACGCAACAGAGGAGGAAGCAGGGAAAGGGTCTGTCCCAAAGCTGCCGGGAGAAGCACTGAGACAGAAGGGCAGGAGCCGAGTGAGATAAGGTCAGACAAGTAGTGCAACAGACTCTGTGGCCTGGTGGCCTCTGGCGATTGAGGAAAGAGGGGGTCTTGGAAGGCTCAAGCAAAGGAGGGCAGGTGGGGAACAGAGATCTTAAGCGGATCACCCTGGCTGGCTGCTGTGTAGACCAGATAAGCTGGGGGAGGCAGGCAGCAGGGAACAGCGGGTAGCTGCTGGATGAATCCATCCTGCAAGGCTGCCAGTGACCCTGGTTAGCTCTGAGAAAAGGACAGGTCACCCCTGGAGGCCAGCCGCAGAGGCAACACACCCACTCGATGTCTCTCAGGACATGTTTCTACCCAGGCCGCCCTCTCCAGGTGACCCTGCCATGCCAGCGGGGACACAGGATGCACACCTACCTTCCTTGGCGCACGCCAGGCCACCTGATCCCCCGCCAATCACCAAGAGGTCATAGTTGTGCTGTCCTGCCAGAGGGGATGAGGAAACATTAGGGAGGGAACCAGCTACAGGTCTGGGGCCCAGGCTCCCCAAGTGCCACGCGACTGGTGTATGTTGTCAGCTGGCATCAAATCACCCACAACTCATGTCTACCCCACGCACAACGAAACCAAGGCTGGCTGGTCCCCTGCCATCCCTCTGTGGGGAGGACGATGTGACCCGATGTGACCTGGACTAGCAGAGCTGCTCGGAATTAGAAATTCAGCTAGAATGAGCACCAGGCACGGAAGCGGCGAAAGGACAAGTTTTCCCAGGCCCACGTTTGCTCTGTTGCAAAGGTTACTCTTTGCAGGGAAATGCAGAGACTGCACAGGCTGTCAGATGCCAGCAGCTCGTACAGGCAGACCTCAGTGTGTTTCTAGGGGTGTTGCGTCTCAAAGAAAGTGGCCCCGTATGGAGTACGTTGGGTGGGGGCATCCTGGAGATCCAGGATGCTCCAGGCCGTGACTCCGAGGAGTGGAAGAACTGGGCCCCTGCTTTGGCTCAGGTCTCCTGAGCTCTCTGTAGCTCCAGGTAGCCTGCATCCTCTACACATTTTCTGCCCTGCACAAGGTGTCCACTGCTGCTATTCTGAGAGCTACTGGCATGGAAGAGGTGGCCGTAGAGGAAGGAGGGGAGAGAGGTGGAGGCAGAGGGAAACTGAGGGAGGAAAGGGGAAGAGAGGGACATAAAAGAGTGAGGAAGGGAAGAGGCAAAAGAAGTAAATGAGTGAAAAGTGTTCTTAGGAGTGGTATGCTTGCCACTGGTCTATCAAAAGGTCCAACGTTGGGGATACCCAGCACCAGGGACTGTCTGCTTCTTGCAAAAGGAAGGAGAGAATGACAGGACACGACCACCATTGCAGGTGCAAATGGTTACTGCACTCAGCTGTTAACACAAAGGCTGAAGGTTCGAACCTATCCTCAGGTACCTTGGAAGAAAGGCCTGGCTATCTACTTTCCAAAGAAAACCTACAGAGTTCTACTCTGACACACGAGTCAGTCCACCGGGCCATGACTGGAGCGGGGTGACCATCATCAAGGCTAAAAGGGCCGGATGGTGGATTAGGGCCCAGAAGGGAAGCTGGTGTCTTCCCAGGGCACAGAAAAGACAGCCACAAGCCCTGGTCTCTGCACAGCTCACACTAGGCCCCAATGACCCCAAAACTACCAAAACAAAGTGCTAAATTGAGGCACAGGCCACCTTTCAGGCTGGCAAAGTGGCCAAGGATGCACAGCTCCCTTGGGGGTAACCACTATGCAGATACTCAATAGACAGTGGCTCTGCACCTCGACCCTGGGCCTCCAGGGGCACTGGCCCTGGTCCAAGGTCCTGCACAAGCAGCAGTACAACTGAGAGGCCACTGGATGCACGCTGGGATCCAGCAGCCAGGTCAAACCGAGTTCAGTGTCCAAATTCAAGGACAGAAAATTGCCTTGACACAAAGTCAGAGAATTTAAGGGCTGACTTGGTGACATGGAAGCAGAAGTTGGCTGCACTAGGGGCAAAAGGAGGCAACAGCGCAAGGCTTGGCTGAGAAGACCTTTGTTCCTACCTTCCATCGCTGTCCTCCCTCCTTGTCCACTGTCCTGCGATTGGCCCACACAGCCTCCCACTCATGGAGACCTGGGGCTGCTATCAGGCAGAGCAAGTGAGACCGGAGGGTTGGGTTTATCGCTAGTGTGTGTGCTAAAACACTGGGTACACCCAGGTACTACCCCTAAATCCGATAAGCACTTGGAGGGAACAGCATCTGGAGTCTTTTCTGAGCGTGCTGCCTTTGCAGCCCTCCTAAGTTTAGCGACTGGCTGGGCAGGAGGGCTCCCGAAGGTGACCACAGGTGAGTGGACAGGGGTGTGGCAGGTATTCTCCGGGACACATCGGCTCTTTCTTAGGTCACAGCCTCAGCTGAACAGCCGCCACAGGGCAGTCCCAGGTTCTGGCTTCGCAAAGCGCGCAGCCCTGCACAGATGGGTTCAGTTCTGGCCACTCCTTCTTCCCATGGCCACTGTTTCTGAAAAAGTCCTGCACCCAGCTGTGGCAGGGCAGTGGCCAGCTGTGGGGAGCCTGTCCTGTAGGATGGGGTATGAGCCCTCCAGAGTGGCCTGGTGTCCAACGTGTCAGCATCAGGACCCTGGTGGGCCGGTGGGCATTCAGGGCCAAATGATAACTGCTGTGGTCGGCTTAGTGATCCTCCAAGATCTCCCCAGCCCCCGGCTTCATCTCCTTGCCCGGAGCCCTGCACCCTGTACAGCACCTGGTGCAGCGGGTGCCTCAGTGCCCAGGACGCATCCACATCCCTAGCGACCCTGCATTCATTTCCCTGTGGGACAGGTATGGGTGGTGGCTGGCGCCTTGGGGACTCAGGAGAAGGTGGCAAGTCTGGCCAGTGGGTGGTGCCAGGGAGGCATGCTCACGATGGATGGTTACTATCGAGTCTAACCGTGCGGGATTGGGGGGCCGAGCTCCCAGAGGCGGTGAGTACAGCAGGGACAGGCCACTCTTCCCATGGGGCCTCGGGCAGCACCCTCCCCGCAGCCTCATTATCCCGCTCTGGAAGGGGGACGTTCCGAGCCGTGCACGGCCTGGGCGCGCGCAGACGCTTCCAAGCCGCCACACGCCCAAGTCTCCCACGTAAACTCCGCGCCCTACCTGCCGCGG